ACTAGGAAGGCTAAGGCAGGAGAATTGTTTGAACCCAGGAGGCAGAGATTGCAGTGAGCTGAGATCTCTCCACTGCACTGCAGCCTGGGTGACAGAGCCAGACCATTGTCAGCCGAGTGCAGTGCCGCAAGCCTGTAATCCCAGCACTTTGAGAGGCCACGGCGGGCAGATCACTTGAGCCCAGGAGTTCAAGACCAGCCTCGGCAACGGGGCAAAACCCCATCACTATAAAAAAAAATACAAAAATTAACTGGGTGTGGTGGCACACAGCTGTAGTCCCAGCTACTCAGGAAGCGGAGGTAGGAGGATGGCTTGGGCCCAGGAGGTCGCAACTGCAGTGAGCTGTGATCACTGTACCACACTCTAGCCTAGGCAACAGAGACCCTGTCTCAAAAAAGAAAGGAGGCTGGGCGTGGTGGCTCATGCCTGTAATTCCATCACTTTGGGGGGCCGAGGCGGGTGGATCACCTGAGGTCAGGAGTTTGAGACCAGCCTGGCCAACCTGTCTCTACTAAAAAAATATAAAAATTAGCCGGGCATGGTGGTCTGTTCCTGTAATCTCAGCTCCTCAGGAGGCTGAGGCAGGAGAATCACTTGAACCCAGGAGGCGGAGCTTGCAGTGAGCTGAGATCGCGCCATAGTACCCCAGCCCGGGAGACAGAATGAGACTCTGTCTCAAAAAAAAAAAAAAAAAGAGAAAAAAACATATTGTCCTGGCTGCCAAGGGGCCTAAGGCCACACACGTGGCAGTTAACTCAGCCTTGCACATGCGGGGGTAACAGATCTGAGCCTGGAAGACATTATCTGTGGATATCCAGTGTGAAAGTGGCCACTACCAAAATGGAGTCACTTATGTCAAACCCTGAAATATGGAGCCAGGAGGCCACAAAGGAAGGGCTCTCCCAGGTGTGCCAGGAAAGAAACTAAGGAATTAACTCAAAACCACAGTACTGGCCGGGCGCGGTGGCTCAAGCCTGTAATCCCAGCACTTTGGGAGGCCCAGGAGGGCGGATCACGAGGTCAGGAGATCGAGACCATCCTGGCTAACACGGTGAAACCCCGTCTCTACTAAAAAATACAAAAAAACTAGCCGGGCGATATAGCGGGCGCCTGTAGTCCCAGCTACTCGGGAGGCTGAGGCAGGAGAATGATGTAAACCCGGGAGGCAGAACTTGCAGTGAGCCGAGATCCGGCCGCTGCACTCCAGCCTGGGCAACAGAGTGAGACTCCGTCTCAAAAAAAAAAAACAAACCACAGTACTGCGGCTAAGCTGCTTGCATAAGGACGCTTGCCTAACAAGGGCCGTCTTCACCTCCAAACGAATGCCAACTCCTGCAACAAGCCTGATATGGTTTGGCTGTGTCCCCACCCAAATCTCCTTTTGCAGTTCCCATAATCCTCACGTGTTGTGGGAGGGACCTGGTGGGAGGTAATTGAATCATGGGGGCAGTTACCCCCATGCTGTTCTCGTGACGGTGAGTTCTCAGGACATCTGGTAGTTGTATAAGGGGCTTTTCTCCTTTGCTCAGCACATCTCTCTCCTGCAGCCATGTGGAACTGTGGGTCAGTTAAACCTCTTTCCTTTATAAATTACCCAGTCTCAGGCAGTTCTTCGTAACACCGTGAGAATGGACTAACACAAAGTCCGTGTCACCTGTGCTCTTTGTTTCAAAGCAGCTTAGGTGGGCTTCTCCTTTCTGTGTTTTAGAAGCTTCCCGTCCCAGCCTCTCTGGATGTGCCTGTGGTCTGCCGTAGCATGCATATCCCAAACTGCAATTCCCCGTCATTCCTGGAGAAACCCTTTGGAGAGGCATCTCTCTGTTGTGGCCATAGCAGGCCCGTTTCCTGATGCATGGAACATCACTACACCGACACCACGGGTTGCAGCAAAAAGAGTTTTAATCCTCAGGCTGCTGTACAAGGAGACAGAGTGAAGCAAGCAGGCTGCAGGGATCTTGTGGCCGTCCGGGGGTCTCCCCATTGCTTCTGGTTCCCCCAGCCCATTTCTTTGGAATCCTGCTGACTCTGCTGTTTCATCCCTCCAGCCCATGGCTAGAGTCACCCCAAAAGTGGTAGCAGGCAAGTTCCAGCAAGGGACTGCCCCAAACCGTCCTGAGGTGGAGCTGGTTGGTCCCAAAGAAAAGAAGCACCAAATGCCAGGGTGATAAGCCCAAAGCATTTGTTCGGGGAACTTATGTACAGAGGGAGGAAGCACATCCTTGGGCCGACAGCAAGAGATGGAGAGGTTCCACCTAGGAAGCCTGCACCCAGGGGCTAGAGTGGAGAGTTTTACAGGAGGATTTAATTCGTGTGGCTCTCGTTTCCACATATTTAGCAACATGTTTGATCTTTCAGTGTCTCAGGCAACAACCTAGTTCATCAGTGACAGAATACTCAAGGTCCTGGCCGAGCTTCAAGCCTGCAGGGAATATGCAGTGGCCCAGGCTCTGTGCTTCTCAGGCAGGACACAGAGAGAAAGCAGGAGCTCTGGGGAACCTTACAGTAGAACAGGCAACTGGCCAGACATGGGCCCCTCCCAGGAAGTTACTAGGGGTCTTACTGCAGCAAAGTAAGGGAGTACAGCCAGAAGGAGGAGGATGCAGATTCCAGGAAACAGCTGTTAACAGAAAAGCCAAACTCTGAAGAAGACATTTTTTCCTTCTTCTTTTTTTTTTTTTTTTTTGAGACAGAGTTTTGCTCATTGCCCAGACTGGAGTGCAATGGCGCGATCTCAGCTCACTGCAACCTCTGCCTCCCGGATTCAAGTGATTCTCCTGCCTCGGCCTCCTGAGTAGCTGGGATTATAGGCGTGTGCCACCATGCCCGGCTAATTTTTGTGTTTTTAGTAAGAGATGGTTTCACCATGTTGGTCAGGCTGATCTCAAACCCCTGACCTTGTGATCCGCCTGCCTCGGCCTCCCAAAGTGCTGGGATTACAGGCATGAGCCACTGTGCCCAGCCTAATTTTTGTAGTTTTAGTAGAGATGGGGTTTCACCATGTTGTCCAGGCTGGTCTGAAACTCCTGACCTCGTGATCCACCTGCCTCAGCCTCCCAAAGTGCTGGAATTACTGGCGTGAGCCACCGTGCCCGGGCTCTTCTTTTTTTAAAGAGGGCTTCATTCTGTTGCTCAGGTTAGAGTGCAGTGGTGCGATCTCAGCTCACTGCAGCCTCTGCCTCCTAGGCTCAAGCGATCCTCGAAGAGTAGCTGGAACCACAGGCGTGTGCCACCACACCCAGTTAATTTTTGTGTATTTTGTAGAGATGGGATTTCAACATGTGGCCCAGGATGGTCTCTAAGTCCTGGGCTCAAGTGATCCGATCACCTCAGCCTCCCAGAGGGCTGGGATTACAGGCATAAGCCACCATGCCCAGCTTCACAAAATACTTTCTTTTTTTTTTTTTTTTTTTTTTTGAGACGGAGTCTGGCTCTGTCGCCCAGGCTGGAGTCCAGTGGCCGGATCTCAGCTCACTGCAAGCTCCGCCTCCCGGGTTTACGCCATTCTCCTGCCTCAGCCTCCCGAGTAGCTGGGACTACAGGCGCCGCCACCACGCCCGGCTAGTTTTTATTGTATTTTTTAGTAGAGACGGGGTTTCACCGTGTTAGCCAGGATGGTCTCGATCTCCTGACCTCGTGATCCGCCCGTCTCGGCCTCCCAAAGTGCTGGGATTACAGGCTTGAGCCACCGCGCCCGGCCCACAAAATACTTTCAAGAGGTTTACTTTGAGCCGATATGAATGACTGGGGTTCCCAGGAAAACACACATCCGAGAAGCCTTGAGTAAGTGGTTCTGAAGTGGTTGGTTTACAGTTTGGTTTTGTACACTTTAGAAAGGCAGGAGTTACAAGCAAAGACATAAATACATACATGGAAAGTATATGTTGGTTTGGCTTATAGGTTATAGGTGGATCCGCCTGGCCGGAAACTGTTTTAAAAATTTCTCTGGGGTCCCCTTGGCCAAGAGGGAATCTGTTCAATTGGTGGAGGGCTGGCTGGGCGCAGTGGCTCACACCTGTCATCCCAGCACTTTGCTTTTTCTTTTCTTTTTTTTTTTTTGTTTTTGAGACGGAGTCTCACTCTGTCACTCAGGCTGGAGTGCAGTGGCCAGATCTTGGCTCACTGTAGCATTCGCCTCCCGGGTTCAAGTGATTCTCCCACCTCAGCCTCCCGAGTAGTTGGGACTACAGGCGAGTACCACCATGCCCGGCTAATTTTTGTATTTTTAGTAGAGATGGGGTTTCGCCATGCTGGCCAGGCTGGTCTCCAACCCCTGGCCCCAGGTGATCCTCCCACCTTGGCCTCACAAAATGCTGGGATTACAGGTGTAGGCCACTGTCCCTAGCCAGTTTTTCCTTTTTTTTTTCTTTTTTGAGACAGATTCTTGCTCTGTTCCCCAGGCTGGAGTGCAGTGTCATGATCTCAGCTCACTGCAACTTCCACCTCCCAGGTTCAAGCAATTCTCCTGCCTCAGCCTCCCAAGTAGCTGGGAGTACAGGCGTGCACCACCATGCCTGGCTAATATATATATATATACACACACATACATATATATATACACACACACACACACACACACACACTGTATTTTTGTATTTTTAGTAGAGGTGGGGTTTCAACATTTTGGTCAGACTGGTCATGAACTCCTGACCTCAAGTGATCCGCCCTCCTCGGCCTCCCAAAGTGCTGAAATTACAGGCGTGAGCCACCGTGCCCAGCCAATTCTGGCACTTCAGAAGGCAGAGGTGAGCAAATAGCTTCGCCTAGGAGTTTGAGACCAGCCTAGGCAACATGGTAACACCCCGTCTCTACTAAAAATTTTAAAATAACCAGCATGGTGGTGCATGTCTGTGGTCCTAGCTACTCAAGAGGCTGAGATGGGAGGATCACCTGAATCCAGGAAGCAGAGACTGCAGTGAACCAAGACAGTGCCACTGCACTCCAGTCTGGGCAACAGAGCAAGACCCTGTCTCAAATACAAAACAAAACATAAAACAGTTGGTAGAGGGCTCAGGATTTTATTTTTCGTTTACATAGGGAATCCAAGAAAGGAGACAGGCAAAGTGAGTCTCAAGGATGAGAGCAGAGAAAAGCTCGAGATAAGAGCTGTGCAGCACGGTCAGGAGGCGATCAGTCTAGGTCCGAACAGGAGGATCAGACACAGCGGATGTGTTTGAGCCTTTGGAAAATATTATTGGGCATGTGGCAAAAACGTTGGGGCACTTGAAAAAAAAAAACTGGCCATGGGTTAGTAAAAAGCTAGGTATGTGAAAATATTAGGTAACTATTAAAAGAAAAAAAGGTTGTACAGGAATTGTGGCATGGTTTTATACAGTAGCAGTGAACAGCAGGTAATCGTGAAGGGATAAGCCTGGTTTCATTACGACAGCTGTGACAGTTGCAGGTACCAAAATGGAACTACTTCTACCAATCCCTAAACAAATGGAGTGGAGAGGCCACGAAGGGGGAGCTCTCACGCGGGGATACCTGCAGCAGGCCTCCTCAGAACACGCTCCCGCACGTCCTGCACGTTTGCCTGTAACCAGACTCACTGCAGGGAAATTCCTCGGGACTGCAGTATTCCAGACAAGCAGCTTGTACTAGGACTTGGGCCTGGTAAGGCTCTCTCTCCAACAACGAGCTAACGCCCACTCCTGCAGCAAGCGCCCACGGCCAGTGGTTTTTGTTACAAAACGACTTTTGTGAGCTCATCTATATTTTCCCCTTCTCCCAGCCCCCTCGGATAGGCCTATGATCTGTCATGGCACGAACACCCTAGGCTGCAACCCCCTGCGATGCCCAGATTAATTCACTTGTCCTGGAGAGCCTGCCTCTGGGTTTCCTTTCAGGTTGACAGTTTGGGAGCTAACAGGACCACGTGAGGGGTGCAGCGGGGAAGATCAGCCAGGTTCTCAGGGACCTTCCCTGGAAGTACGCAATGTCTACAATTAAGAAATGTGAGGCCGGGGGCTGTGGCTCACGTCTATGATCCCAGCACGTTGGGAGCCCTAGGCGGGCAGATCACGAGTTCAGGAGTTCGAGACCAGCCTGGCCAACATGGTGAAACCCCGTCTCGACTAAAAATACAAAAATTAGGTGTGCGTGGTGGTGCAAGCCTGTAGTCCCAGCTGCTCGGGAGGCTGAAGCAGAAGAATCATTTAAACCCGGGAGGCGGAGGTTGCAGTGAGCCGAGATCGCGACATTGCACTCCAGCCTGGGAGATAGAGAGAGCCTCCGCCTCAAAAAAAAAGAAATGAGAAAGTAGCAGTGCATTGTTTAGAAAGGCGGAGACTTCTCTGAGGAGAAAGCGAGAAACAAGCGTCCGCCTCTAGGGTGCAGAACCGGGGGCGGGAGGACGGGCCCGGACTGCTGTTTCTCGCTGTGTGCAGGTCTGCGTGACTCAAAAGCCCGGACCGGGTCCACTCTGGTGGAGTCGGAAAGAGGTGGCTGCCGCGCGGCAAGTCCCGCCAGTGCCCGCGAGCGCGACGACGGTCCCGAGCCCCCGTCTCTATGGCAACCGAGTGCGTCTCCGGGACCGCCATTGCGCAGGCGCCCAGAGGCTAAGCCGCTCGGCCCCCAGCAGCGCTACGCAGGGCAGGCGAAGCCGACCCTCCCGCGCTGACGCACTTCCGGCGCCTGCCCCGCCCATCCCTGCGGCGGGGGCGTGGCCGTGGCCACGGCGCTCCGGCGGGGGCTGGCCCTGGGCTCCCGCTGTCGGGGTCCCACAGTTTCTAGCCGCCCCTGTCCTCAGTGCCCGGTGGCCCGGGAGGGCCTGGGAGCCCGAGGCCGTCCCCGAGTCGCTGCTGGGTCACTGGCACGATGCAGGCCGTTCTCTCGGCTGATGGTGCGTGCGGGCGCGGATCTCCTCCCCTGGCCCTCCGCACCGTCCCCGAGTCGTGCTCCGCTCTGGCAGAACGCGAGCGCCGTCCCGGTCCCGCTCCCGCTGGCCCAGCCGCACCGGGCCGGCAGGGTCCGCTCGCGATGGGCTGGGGCTGCGCGCGCAGCGCCGCCGCGGAGCCTTCTGGGAGTTGTGGTCTGGCCGCCCGCGCGGGACTCCAGCTCCCGGCAGGCCTTGCGCGACCCGGGGCCCGCGGCGCTGGGGTCGGCGCTGGGGTCATCGTCTGGGCCCGGTGGGCTGCGGGGCGCGGCGGTCGCTCTGGCCTGGCCTGGCAGCCTCTGAGCAGTCGGGGCCGGTGGGCGGCCTCGCACGCCGGGACAGACTGACAGACGGACTGGCCGGCAGCCCCGCGCCCCCGAGCGGAGCAGGCGGGACGGAAACGTCCGGGCAAGTTGGGGTCGGCGGGTACTGCGCGGCCCTGGCAAGGTCTGGCAGCGTACGGGGCCGGGCGGCCTCCGCGAGCCTTCGGCACGAATGACGGGCGGGGCGCGCTCCGGGTGGGGTGCCCGCCGTGCCCGCCCCCGGCCCGCCTGTTCCCCTGCGCCGGCGCCCGTGCGCGTCCCGGAGCCTCCTGACGTCTGCGAGCCGCGGCCGCCAGACCCCGGGCGCACGCAATTACGGGCGCGGCGCTGGCGGCTCCTGCGCGCTCCAGACCCCAGGGAGCCCATCCAGGCAGGCAGCGGCCCTGGGTGTCGCGGCCGTGGGCCCGAGTGGACCTGGAGCCGGCGGGCAGCCCCGGGGGCAGACAGGCGACCGAGCCACAGGCCGAAGTGCTAACTGTGCATCTTGGCATCTCCCCTCGGCCACAGGGTTGGAAGCCCAGCGAGGCTAGAGGCCAGTCCCAAAGTCTCCAGGCATCAGGGCTGCAGCCCAAGAGCCTCACGGCGGCCGGGCGGGCGACTGGACGGCCGGACAGGTGAGCTCTTGACCGTCCGCAGCCTGGTAGTTTGCACTTGGCGCTCCCACCTTGGGGCTCCGTGGAAGCCACGCCAGAGGGGCTGTGTTTGTGTCTGAACATGCGTGTGAGTGGAGGGAAGTGGTGAGTAATCCCGCGTCTCCCCTCTAGGTTCGAAACCCATGGAGGAAATAAGCAGAGGTGCCAGACAGGCCCCTGATAGGCACCTGCAGGATTGGGGCAGAGTGGCCGCAGCGCAGACAGGCCCCGATAGGCACCTGCAGCATTGGGGCAGAGTGGCCGCAGCGCAGGAGCGCTGGCAAGCCTAGCCTTTCCCGGAAGGCCCCCTCTGTCCGGTTCCACCCTGGCCTGTTGCTTCACATGCAACAAGTGTCTGAATGTGGCTCTCTCCTGGCCGAGGGCAGCCCTGGGCAGTGAGTGGGTTGACACCCCAGCCTGCAGGGTGCCTATGCATCTCCACCCAGATGGGCAGGATTGGAGGTGGCCACAGCGCTCGTGGGCTTTCCCCTAGCAGGTGTCTCCGTGCTGGCCAGGCTCAGGGCTTCATCCCACTCAGTGGGCCTGATCTCCCTGGGGCACCTGGGATGTCCATCTGCATTAGCTGGAGCTACTCCATGGCCCGTGGCGTGCCACACACAGCGGCATTTCAGTGTCATTAGGCACAGCTGGAGGTGCAAGGAGGAGGGCAGCCTCATGTCCAGTCCCAGTTCTGTGTAACTTGCTTCTTCTGAATAAAGGCAATTTGCTAACTTCCTCGCTAAATAGGATTTGGTTTCTATGGCTTTCAAAGCTTATCCAATAAAATACTTGCAATAAGGGAAGTCTTTCCTACACTGTCCTGATTGATGGTTCGGAAATCCTCCTGCCCTCTGAGAGCTGGCAGTTTCTTGTGAAAAAGAGAAACTAAGAAGCAGTAGAACAGACCTGGTGGCTGCTTGTGTGGTTAAGATGGTAAATGCTAAATGTGTGAAACTGCCTTTATAAACCGTTTTCTCCAGCCTGGCTTGCTGGCTGCCCGTCTGGTTTGCTGTGTTGTGTCTCCAGTGGCTTTAGCTTCCAACAGGAAATCTGTGACCCAGGAAGTAGCAATTAAACACCTGGGATGCCGCCTCGAGGCTGGTGTGTGCTCTGAGGTAAGTTCCGATTTGGCAAAGCACATCTGTCGCCCGAGTCTTCACGCCCTGACTGCCTTCGTCATTTTAAACATTGGGAGCAGTTGCCTGCAGCGAGGTTCAGATGCCAGCCAGGGGCACAGCCTGTGAACTCTGGGTAGATGGCAAAGTCTAGCATTTCTAGCAAAGGAAAAACATTTGGTGACTCTCTGGGTAAATTTCTGACTGAGATGAAGGTACCCATTGTGAGGCAGCATCCTGAAGCGGAAGCCTGGGCTGTATGTTTACAAGAGGAGGAGCAGGAGTGGCCACGACCATGTACACCAGGGGCTGCATGGCTGCAGCTCTGGTCTGCTCCCTGGAGCCCCTCCACCAGTGCTGGGCTGTGGCTGTGGCTGTCTCTGGTTTGTCTTTCTGGGAAACCTTGGCCAGGTTGGCATGAGGGCAGGGCCAGCCTTGGACATTTGCACTTTCCATAGCAGCCTCTGACCCAGAGCTCACCCGCTGTGGGCAGGTGATCAGGGTGATTAGGGCTCATTGGTCCCCTCCTCTGCACCTGGAGCCTTGTGGGTTTAGAACAGAAAAATAGGAGGGGGCAACCCGGAGGCCTCCTGCTCTCCAGGAAGGGATGGGTGCTGGGCAGGTCCAGGGTGGAGGCAGAGGGAGTGAGGGGCCCTTGGGGGAACATCTGTCCTAGGGGGCTTGATCTCCAGGACTGCCCACCCCACTCCTACCCCTAATCTGGTGTTCCTCACCCACACGCCTCCGGGAAATCCTCACCTGAGGTCTGCAGCGGGTGTGCCAAGTGCTGGCCCCACATCACCTGCTCCCACCCCTGCCCAGACCATGGGGCCTGCAGCTAGTGCCCTTGGGGTCGGCTTGACCCAGTCCCGGCCCAGAGCCTGTCCCATGGCCTCAGGAGGACAAGATGGTCAGGGAAGCCCAGGGGATGAGCCCTTTTGTCCACAAGCTTCCCTCTGAGATGGCCAGGCTGTTTGTGCGACCCCACAGCCCCCAACTCTCATGAACAGTGTGGATGGGGCAGGCCCCTCGCTGGTGGCCCCTAAGCAGGTACACTCTGTCCCCTTTGAGGAGAGACCTCCCAGATGGAGGGATACAAGTGCTGCGTCCTGGCTGGGGTGCTCCTCCTCCCTGCCTGTGGGGGTCTCACTCTTGCCTCCTGCCCCTACCACAAACACCCCCTAGAGAGTCCTTTGGAGGCAGGTACTGAGCCCTGGGGCCGGGGGCCGGAAGGCCAGTGGCAGGTGGTCTTGGGTGACTGCTCTCCCTGGGCAGTGGTGAGGAAGACAGGCAGGCGGCTGCAGGATGTTGCTGAGGAGAAAGGCGGCAGAGCCTAAAAAGCTGCTGGCCTCTTCAGAGGGTCCCGGATGTTGAGCTCCTGAGCCTGGGAGCCGCCTGCACGTGGTGTGTCTGCACACTGGCGCCACAGAAGGGTCTGCGCGAGGCAGGCATGGCTGGAGACCCCGCTCAGATGAGGCGGCCACGCCGGGGCAGTGCCACGCTGGACAGAAGGGGCTGCCTTGGCAGCGGGACAGACCCCAGACCCTTGGGGTGGGGGCCCTGCAGGGGAGGCCATGAGCAGGTGCCAGGGCTATAGGCCCCTGTATGCTCACATCCCAGCGCCCAGGGAGAGGCGTGGAGTGGGCAGGCGCACCCAACTCCCCTGTCCGGGCTCCTCTCCCTTGTTGGGGCAACCCTCAGCAAGTGGGAGGCTGGTTCCAGGCACAGGAAGTGAGGCTGGGGAGGAATTCCTGCCCGTGTTCAGCGCAGTTGTGCCCAACTCTGGTGGGCTTCCATGAGGGACAGCCTCTGGGAGGGTGGGGGTTTGTGGGCCAGAGCTGGAGAGCTGCCTGGCTGTGCTAAAAATACTGGGCATGCTGCAGACAGGTGCCAGCCTGGGGCACAGGCCACCCTGTCTCAGGCTAATGGCCTTGGCACCCCACCCCGCTGCGCCTGTGAGGTGGCGGCCACCGAGGCTTGGTCTTGATTCCCAGAGGCCCTGCTGGTGACCTCCCTGACGTCTCTGCCCTTTGCCTATCCCCCCAAGGGCAAGGCTGGGCACAGGACACTCTGGTTCACGCATGGGGCACTCTGCCCCTGTCTTGTTGGAAAGGTCCAGTGGCATATGGCTGGGGTCCATGCCTGCGAGTCGGGCAGGTGTGGCCGCTGGCCTGGGCTAAGCTGGCTCTGACTGAGAGTCTGGGCGCAGAGACAGGGCGTCCCTGCTGCAGAAGGATCACTGTGGGCTAGGCTGGCTCTGGCTGAGAGTCTGGGTGCAGAGACAGAGGGCAGCCCCCATGCTGCAGAAGGATCACAGTGTGGGCTCATGGCATTGACTTTTTCGCGGTCCCAAGTCTTTCATCTCGGTTGCCAGGCCCATCTCAGGGCTGGGCAGATGCGTATCCCCTGCTAGCAAAGACCTCCAGTCGGTTCTGCGGCTGCCTGTGATGGGTCTCGCTCCGGCTCAGTGTCGGTGTCTGGCAGGGAGGAGGCCCCGGCTTAGCGTGATGCCAGCTGAGGCCAATTCTGGGGGGATCCTGGCAAGGAGGAGGTTGCATGTGGATCTGGTGGAGGTGGATGGCCTGGCAGGGGGTGGGGCCCGCACCCCTAAGGAGCAGTACCCCTCTCACTCGTCCCCCCTGCTGCGTCGGCCTCCTCGGCCTGTGCCATTCTGCGGGGAAGGTCCCTGTGTAGAGGAGGCTGGAGTGGGGGAGCTCAGCCCAGGCCACACCTCACCCTTCTTGGGTGCTCCATGGGCAAAAGCTGAGGACAGTGTGTGGATCCTGGGAGCAGGAACCCTGCAGAGCCTGCCCCCAGCTGGTGGCAGAGCAGGCAGTGGGGAGCTGCTGGGGCAGGAGGGGTGACCTCCCTCCAAGACAACCCCCGTGGGGTCTGCAGGGATCTGGAGAGTCAAGGGTCATGACCAGGGTGGGGCCGTGGAGCTGGGCTGGCCGGTGGAACTGTGTCCCCCGGACATGCTCTGGGTGAGGCGTAGTCAGTGCTGGGATGGCTGGAAGTGGCCTCTGCTGGGCGGGTCCTCGGGACACGGGGGCTGCTGCTATCACAGAAGCCTGGCACAAATTCTCTCTGGTTCTTATGTTTCGTTCACTCATGCAGCCATTCAGTCAAAGCTGCAGCTGGTGGGGTCCTGGCCAAACATAGGACGCGGCAGTGCACCACCTGGGGGCTCCCCTCAGAGGCCCCGCCCAGGGGAACAGTGCCACAGAGGCCCATGGGGAGGGCCTGTGGGTCACCCTGGGTGGTGGCTGGGCTCCTGGCTCCGAGGGGCCTCTGAGGGCAAGGTGGGGCCGCTCTGGCTGCCACCTGTGGAAGCTGACCATGCAGAGGCCCAGCCAGGAGGCTGCAGAAGGCCGTGGGGAGGGCAGAGCCAGCCGCCTTCCCTGATGGCTGTGGAGCTGCCCATGGGACCCGTCTCCTTGTCTGGGGCTCACTAGTGCCACAGGAAAAAGCAGCCCCTGGTGCTGGAGCCTGCCCTGGCCCAGGCCTTGGTGCACATCTTGGCAGGATCTCGCCCCAGGTGAGGGGGGCAATGTCACCCAACAGGTGAGGCCTCTGGACAGATGAAGCCACGTGGGGTTTCCCTGAAGAAGCAGAGCCTGGCTGCTGGGTGGGGGCTCCTCTTCGTCACTGACAGGGAGAGCTGTGCTTTTAAAACATCCCCCTGTCCTGTGGAAGCCCTGGGGGTTCTGGGCAGGTTGAGGAGAAAGAACTGGAGAGGCCAAGCTGGCCAGGTTTGTGCCCCTGAGAATTAGAGGGAGTCCTGTGCTCACACCCAGCTGGGGCCCAGTGAGGAGCCCAGCCCTGCAGGCGAGCCCTTGCGCTGGACTCAGTCTCTGGAGTGGGGCTGGGCTCCTCACCGGGCCTTGCTCGGGGGACAACCTGTGGGGCTCAGGCCCCTGAGCCAGAGCAGGAGTCGGGGGCTTTGCTGTGGCCCCTCCTCACTGCCCATCTGCAGCCTCCCCTGGGCCAGGGTGTCTCCTGAACTGGCCTGAGATGCAAAGTGCTGGGCTGCAGTGCAGCCCAGGTGGAAGGCTGACATGTGAGTCCCAGGCTGGCCCGTGTCCTGGAGTTGGCAGGGCCCCCTCCCATCCTCAGCCACATCCACCCAGCCTCAGGGGTCCCTCCAGCCTCCTGGGACTGCCGTGTCCCCCACCTCTGCTTCAGGCAGTGCTCCTGGGCTGCCCCCTTCCCCGGCCATGGGGTCCTAGTGGTTTAATGAGAAGTGAGTGGGGCCTCCCCTCCCCCAGAGAGGGTCTTGCTTTGCCCGCCAGGCTGGAGTGCAGTGACGCCATCACAGCCAGCTGTAGCCTCTACCTTCTGATCTGCCCTCTTAACATTCACATCCATTCTTCTTAACGAGACTGTGCTGAAGCCCAGCACGGTGGAGAGGGCAGCCCACGGTGACTCACATCTGCAGAGTGAGCTCTCGGGGGTCAGCACCCAGATTCGGGATTAGCAGTCCTGGGCCTCAAGCCCTGTGGCTGGCTCCGTCCCTGCTTCCAGCAGCCTGGAATTTGCACCTCTGTGTAAACGGAGCCGCCTGGCATGGCATTTGCACTGGGCTACTTCCCTCCATCTGCTGGTGACCTCTGGCCTGTGCTCTTTGTGGTGAGTGGGTCCCTGCTTGGTTGGGACTCAACCCCACTTCAGGACCCCGTGGCCACTGAGGACCCAGGGACCTGCCTGTGCTCAAGTGTCTGGCCTCTGTTGTGGGTGCGTGGCGTGGCCAGGGCCACTTTTCCAGAGAAGGCTCCGTGGTGCTGTCTGGCCTCGCTGCACTGTCCCTGACGTGCAGGGTCCAAAGCTGGCATCCCCCAGGAGCAGTGTCTGGGGACAGAGATGCCTCCTGGTCCTTGCTGGCCGAAGCCTGCTGGTCTTGTATGGCGCCTGCGTCGTGTTTGCCATTTTTCTGTTGCATTGTCTGACGTTTTCATGTGGATCGCAGGAGTTCCTCGCCCTGTGTGTGTGTGGACACAAGTCCTCTGAGGGACGCATGTCACGGTGTCTGCTCACATGCCGCTGCCCGTCCAACCATGTGAGTGTCTTAGGGGACGGCAGCTCTTTCTTTAGTGAAGTCCAGCGTCCAGCTCATTAATTGGCTGCGGGAGGAGATGGCAGTTTTCTTTCTAGAACTTTATTTGTGAACCTTTCACGAAGCTCCCTGGGCCCAGACCACCCTGCCGGTCCCGTGCCAGGCTGGCATGGCACCCACCTTCCCCACCAGCCTCGCTGGTGCCAGACTGTGGGCCTCCTTGCTGCCTCCTCGGGCCCCAGGGCTTGAACCAGCCCACCTGCCCCTTTGGGCCTCTCCTCTGCTCTCCTGTGGAGCCTGCTCTGACTGGGAGTGTCCCGTGGTGGCCTGAGAATACCCTCTGCCCACAGGTCCCGAGCAGCCCCGCCCACCATGGACCCCTCCGCCCACAGGTCCCGAGCAGCCCCGCCCACCATGGACCCTCCGCCACGGGTCCCGAAAGCAGCCCCGCCCACCATGGACCCCTCCGCCCACAGGTCCCGAGCAGCCCCGCCCACCATGGACCCTCCGCCCACAGGTCCCCAGCAGCCCCGCCTCACCATGGACCCTCCGCCCACAGGTCCCGAGCAGCCCCGGGCCCACCATGGACCCTCCGCCCACAGGTCCCGAGCAGCCCCGCCCCACCATGGACCCTCCGCCCACAGGTCCCGAGCAGCCCCGCCACCATGGACCTCTGCCCACAGGCCCGGGCAGCCCGCCACCATGGACTCTGCCTACAGGTCCGAGCAGCCCCGCCCACCATGGACCCTCTGCCCACAGGTTCCGAAAGCAGCCCCGCCCACTCATGAGACCCCTCTGCCCACAGGTCCCGAGCAGCCCCGCCCACCATGGACCCAGACCCCCAGGCGGGCGTGCAGGTGGGCATGCGGGTGGTACGCGGCGTGGACTGGAAGTGGGGCCAGCAGGACGGCGGCGAGGGCGGCGTGGGCACGGTGGTGGAGCTTGGCCGCCACGGCAGCCCCTCGACACCCGACCGCACGGTGGTCGTGCAGTGGGACCAGGGCACACGCACCAACTACCGCGCCGGCTACCAGGGCGCGCACGACCTGCTGCTCTACGACAACGCCCAGATCGGTGCGCCAAGGGCAGGCGGGACGGGCAGGACCCGGGGGCGGGAACCCCCCTCTGACCCCACCCCACCCCCAGGCGTCCGGCACCCCAACATCATCTGTGACTGCTGCAAGAAGCACGGGCTGCGGGGGATGCGCTGGAAGTGCCGTGTGTGCCTGGACTACGACCTCTGCACGCAGTGCTACATGCATAACAAGCACGAGCTTGCCCACGCCTTCGACCGCTACGAGACGGCCCACTCACGCCCGTGAGTCCCGGGCCGCACCAGCTCCTGTGCGGCGGATACCCAGGCCTTGCCATGGGGGCCTCAGCCTTCGGGGAGGCTCCCAACCACTCCCAGGGAGATGGAGCAAGTCTCTCCAGGGCAATGGCCTTAAGAGGTGTTGCCATGGGCGGGGCACAGAGGGTGGCCTCTGGGTGGCTCTACAGGCAGCAGTGGCCGTCAGGCAGCCAGCATCCCCCAGGGAGGCATGAGACCTCCGAGAGGACTGTCCACACCTGGAGCCAGCCCCTGGGCTGCCTTGGGGGCTGCTGTGCTGTGGTCCAAGGGCGTCAGCTGGGGGAGAATCTAGCCTGCTTGGGGCAAAGGCAGCCAGAGATGCCACCCCATCCCCTGCATGTCACCCTTGTCTCTGGCCCTCCCTGCATGTGGAGGGAGCTGTGGGCGACTGGGGAGTGCTGTTGGCCTCATTCCTCCCTTACCACATGCTGAGCCCACCTCTGGGCCTGGCTGTGCCCCAGCTCACCAGGAGGCAGCAGGCATAAAGCGACCGCACCCAGAGGTCTTGCCAAGGGTGGGCCCAGGTGCCTTCCCAGCCCGGCATCAGGGAAGTCCCTGGAGGAACGTGGTCCGCAGGTTCGCTCCAGGCCCCTGAGCCCAGGGGCATTTCCTCGCAGTGTGTGGAGGGTGCTGACCTGCTGGGTCGGCCATTCCCAGGCTCTCCCGAGTGGCTCAGGACGGGAAGAGATGGCAGTTTTCTTCCGAGAGCTTTATTTGTGAACCCTCTTGCAGTGTCACGCTGAGTCCCCGCCAGGGCCTCCTGAGGATCCCACTAAGGGGCATCTTCCAGGGAGCGAAGGTGGTGCGAGGCCCCGACTGGGAGTGGGGCTCACAGGATGGTGAGTGGAGGGAGAGGGCAGAGGGCAGGGCCCGGCTGTGGCTGGCTCATGGCTCAGCCTCAAGGCACAGCCTTAGCCTGCTGGCGGGGACTCTTTCCCCAGGAGGGGAAGGGAAACCAGGCCGTGTGGTGGACATCCGTGGCTGGGATGTGGAGACAGGCCGGAGCGTGGCCAGCGTGACGTGGGCTGATGGTACCACGAATGTGTACCGTGTGGGCCACAAGGGCAAGGTGGACCTCAAGTGTGTGGGCGAGGCAGCGGGCGGCTTCTACTACAAGGACCACCTCCCAAGGCTTGGTATGAGGCTGTCCCACGGACCCCATCAGCCCTCCTACCCTGGCTGAAGTCCCAGCGGGGAGGGACTGCTGCCTGAGGCCTGCCACCCTCCCCCAGGCAAGCCGGCCGAGCTGCAGCGCAGGGTGAGTGCTGACGGTCAGCCCTTCCAGCACGGGGACAAGGTCAAATGTCTGCTGGACACTGACGTCCTGCGGGAGATGCAGGAAGGCCACGGCGGCTGGAACCCCAGGATGGCGGAGGTGAGCCACCCCACCGCGGAGCCCTGTGTGCCCTGCCCTCCCAGCCCTGTGGACCCCCAGCCCCTCCCTCCCCAAGCGTCCAGCCCAACCCAGCCACAGCTCCACGACCCGTCACAGTTTATCGGACAGACGGGCACCGTGCATCGCATCACGGACCGCGGGGACGTGCGCGTGCAGTTCAACCACGAGACGCGCTGGACCTTCCACCCCGGGGCGCTCACCAAGGTGCCTGGGGGGCTGGGCTGCACCCCATCTGTTTGCTTCTGTAACCCCTTCCATGTATCCACTCGGCCTCGGGGGGTCAGGCAGGACTCGGGTGCCAGCTGTACCCATGAGTCCCCAGCCCTGAAGGAAGGGTAGGGACTGGTGGGTGGGGTCAAGGAGAAGAGGGGGTTGGGTGTGAAGGAACCCAGAGGAGGGTATGTCTCTGGGAGCTGGCGTGGCTGGTATGGGCAGGTTAGGGCCTCCCTCGGCTCCCGGACACCAGGAAGGCAGGACAGCTTCATGGGCGGGAGGGAGGCAGCTGGGCTAAGATAGTCCTGGTTAGTGCTGTATGGGGGCCGATGGGGGTGGCTGGTTAGGACAGGGAGGTGCACGTGTGGCCTAGGGTGGCGGCCCCACCACCCTAGTAGTGTGGGAGGTAGTGAGGGCTGCCTGGGAAGCAGGATGGCAGGGAAGGGGCTGGAGGTGGAGGTGGTGGCGGTGGCAGCTTGGATGGCCCTGGGAGGGGCAGGCCCAGGGCAAAGCGTCAGAGCTCAAATCTGGATCTGGGGTCCTGGATACCAGGCACCTTTGAGGAAGCGCCAAGGGGAGTCATGAGATGGGCTTGTAGAGTGAGTTCCCTGCATATGAGGGCTCAGGTGGGGCAGAGTGGGCCCGCCCTGCACCCCAGTGTCCTGGGGCCCCACCCCCACACTGGCTTACGGGGCCCTGGCCATGCTGCCTGCTGCTGGTCAGCGTATAGCTCCCCACGGCCGGCCACCTCGGCTTCACACATGCCCAGAGCTGGCTTCTATCTGCCTGGACACTCCTCCCATGGCTCTGGGGCTGGGGACACCCAGGGCTGCCTTGGACACCTGGGGCTCTCGTCCAGCCAGAGCCTCTGGCAGTGCTTAGGGTCAGGGTCGGGGTCGGGGTCGAGTTCGGGGCCGGGGCGGGGGCCGAGTCGGGCCTGCCTGTCTTGTGGAGCTAGCGGGTTGCCCTCCTGTGCTCCATGAGCCTGGGCAGCCACACACAGCTGGGGGGCCCCTCACGCCCCTCTCTGTTGCTCAGCACCACTCCTTCTGGGTGGGCGACGTGGTCCGGGTCATCGGCGACCTTGACACGGTGAAGCGGCTGCAGGCTGGGCATGGCGAGTGGACGGACGACATGGCCCCTGTGAGTCCCCTTGCTGCCCCCGCCGCTAGGGCCGCTGCCCCCCACACCTGCAGCCTGCTGTGACCCCCTCCCCTCCCCGCAGGCCCTGGGCCGCGTCGGGAAAGTGGTGAAAGTGTTTGGAGACGGGAACCTGCGTGTAGCAGTCGCTGGTCAGCGGTGGACCTTCAGCCCCTCCTGCCTGGTGGCCTACCGGCCCGAGGAGGATGCCAACCTGGACGTGGCTGAGCGCGCCCGGGAGAACAAAAGTGCGGCACAGCTCAGGCGGCCGTGGGCGGTGGGGCTGCCCCTGGCCACTGCTAACCTCAGCCCTCCCCCCCAGGCTCACTGAGCGTGGCCCTGGATAAGCTTCGGGCCCAGAAGAATGACCCGGAGCACCCGGGAAGGCTGGTGGTGGAGGTGGCGCTGGGTAACATGGCCCGGGCTCTGGACCTGCTGCGGAGGCGTCCAGAGCAGGCGAGCTCCCGCCCCCGTCCTCCCACACCGTCCAGTCTGAGGGTGAGGGGCAGAAGGCCAGGGACTCACCTGCTGGCTCTCCTGGCAGGTGGACACCAAGAACCAAGGCAGGACCGCTCTGCAAGTGGCTGCCTACCTGGGTCAGGTGGACTTGGTACAGCTCCTGCTACAAGCCAGGGCTGGCGTGGACCTGCCGGACGATGAGGGCAACACGGCGCTGCACTATGCGGCCCTGGGGTGAGGTCTGGGAGGGGCCCGGGAGGGGCCTGGCAGGGCTGAGCCTGTGTGTCCAGCCAGTGGGCACGGCGCCCTCCCTCTCCCGTCCTCTCCCGTCAGGAACCAGCCTGAGGTCGGCAGGGTGCTCCTGAGTGCTGGGTGCCGGGCAGATGCCATCAACAGCACCCAGAGCACAGCGCTGCACGTGGCCGTGCAGAGGGGCTTCCTGGAGGTGGTGCGGGCCCTGTGTGAGCATGGCTGTGACGTCAACCTGCCTGTGAGTTCTGCTTCCACCTGGCCTCAGTGCCGCCTGCCCGTGAGCGCTGGTCCCTGGGTACCCCCTGCCCATGAGTGCTGCTCCCTGGATGCCCTGGCTCTTGACCCAAGCAGAAGTCACCCCCAAGTGACCACTGACTCTGCCCCAGCAGGATGCCCACTCGGACACGCCCCTGCACTCCGCCATCTCGGCGGGCACTGGCGCCAGTGGCATCGTCGAGGTCCTCACGGAGGTGCCAAACATCGATGTCACCGCCACCAACAGCCAGGGTTTCACCTTGCTGCACCATGCCTCCCTCAAAGGCCACGCGCTGTGAGTGTGGAGCGGGCACACAGCTGCAGCCAGCCTCTTGCTGTGCTGCCCAGGGACAGTCCCAGGTCCCAGACCAACCTCCCTACTCCCACAGAGCTGTGAGAAAGATTCTGGCTCGGGCACGGCAGCTGGTGGACGCCAAGAAGGAGGACGGCTTCACGGCGCTCCACCTGGCCGCCCTCAACAACCACCGTGAGGTGGCCCAGATCCTCATCCGGGAGGTGAGGGCACAGCCCAGGCCTGCCCAAGGACCAGGGAGCGGGAGGCCCACTGGGGTCCCTGGTCTGAGCCCGTGCCCACCCCTCCCCAGGGCCGCTGTGACGTGAATGTGCGCAACCGGAAGCTGCAGTCCCCGCTGCATCTAGCCGTGCAGCAGGCCCATGTGGGGCTGGTGCCACTGCTGGTGGACGCTGGGTGCAGTGTCAACGCCGAGGACGAGGAGGGGGACACAGCCCTGCACGTGGCGCTGCAGCGTCATCAGCTGCTGCCCCTGGTGGCTGATGGGGCCGGGGGGGACCCAGGGCCCTTGCAGCTGATGTCCAGGGTGAGGAAGTGTCCAGTGATGGCCCAGGGAGCCAGGCGCTCTGGGGGTGGAGCAGACGGAACCAAGTTCTATGTGATCCTTCAGCCTGCACCCCTAGGCAGCCTGGGAGAGGGGTGGTGCCCATGGGGTGGGGAGAGGTGGGGCTTAGGATCTTAGAGTTCACCCAGCAGGGTGCCCCTCTTGCCTGTCCCACCTGGGTTCCGGAAGAGGTGCCCCTGCCTTCTATTTTAGACCTGGGGCGCTGGCTGCTGGGGCTGCTGGGTGCCAGGAGACGCCTCCTTCGGGCCTGCCCCGGCGCCCGCCCTCACTGGCGTCTGTCCTGCCGCCCAGCTACAGGCCTCGGGCCTCCCCGGCAGCGCGGAGCTGACGGTGGGCGCGGCGGTCGCCTGCTTCCTGGCGCTGGAGGGCGCCGACGTGAGCTACACCAACCACCGCGGCCGGAGCCCGCTGGACCTGGCCGCCGAGGGCCGCGTGCTCAAGGCCCTTCAAGGCTGCGCCCAGCGCTTCCGGTGAGCCAGCGGATGGTGGGGAGGGGGTCCTGCGGCCTCCGGGCCCCTCTCAAGCCGCCGCCTCCCCCTGCAGGGAGCGACAGGCGGGCGGGGGCGCGGCCCCAGGTCCCAGGCACGCGCTCGGGACCCCCAACACCGTGACGAACCTGCACGTGGGCGCCGCGCCGGGGCCCGAGGCTGCTGAGTGCCTGGTGTGCTCCGAGCTGGCGCTGCTGGTGCTGTTCTCGCCGTGCCAGCACCGCACCGTGTGCGAGGGTGAGTGGGGGGCCCCGGGGGGTGCGCCCAGGTAGTCCGGCCCCAGCCAACCGCGCTCTTCTCTGCAGAGTGCGCGCGCAGAATGAAGAAGTGCATCAGGTGCCAGGTGGCCGTCAGCAAGAAGCTACGCGCAGGTGGGTGAGGCTCGGCGCCCCCGACACGCCTCCTGCTCAGCTGGTGGCCCGCGGGTCCCCGTCCCCCACCCCCGCCCCTCCCACACTTCCGCCCATGGCCCTTCCCCAGGCAGCGTCCCGCCCTCCCAAGGCTCACACCCTGGCCCGAGAGGTCACGGCCTGCTGCAGACCGCACCCTGCCCATAACCCCGCCTCAAGGTAACACCCTCCTCCCCAGGTCACACCCTAGTCCCGCTGGATTTCACGGCCCCTCCCAGATCACACTCTCCATAGCCCCACCCCAGATCACAGCCCACCCAGAGCACCGCCTCCCCATCACACCCCGCCCAGGTCACACCCACTCCACCTGCGGCCCTGACTCCAGCCCCCACACCACCTTACGCCTGATCTCCACGGTTCACATCCTGCCCGCAGCCGGGACCCAGCTCTGCCTCCAAGTCACACCCACTCCACCAACTCCCTTTCCAGGTCACACCCCATCCCAGGTGACACCCCGCCCCCAGCCTCGCCCCCCGTTGCCCGCCTGCAGCTCCCCGCTCCCCCATTCCCCCACCCGGCCTCGCAGCTCACACCGGTCCCTCACCCCGCAGACGGCTCTGAGGTGGCGAGCGCCGCCCCCGCCCCCGGCCCGCCGCGCCAGCTGGTGGAGGAGCTGCAGAGCCGCTACCGGCAGATGGAGGAACGTATCACTTGCCCCATCTGCATCGACAGCCACATCCGCCTCGTGTTCCAGTGCGGCCACGGCGCATGCGCCCCCTGCGGCTCCGCGCTCAGCGCCTGCCCGATCTGCCGCCAGCCCATCCGCGACCGCATCCAGATCTTCGTGTGAGCCGCGCCGCCCGCCACGCCCGAGCTGCCTTCGCGAGCCCCCGCCCTGTGTTTTATAAAAAGATTCTCGGACGTTGCCTCCGCTGTCTGCCTGGGGGACCGGGCGCCTCTGGGGTCCTCCCCTCGGGACACGCGGGCGAGCCTGGGGGCCCCTCCTTCCGTGGGGTGCGCCCCGCCCGCCCCAGGCTCTTGCGTCTAGACTCCCGCCCAGACTGCGGCCTCCGGGCCAGGACACCCTCCCGGCGTGGGCATGGCCGCCTCCCGCCACCCGGGCCCGGGTCCGACGGGGCGGGGGCTCCTGTGTTCGCCCCCGGGCCCCCTTCGCTCTTCCGTCCTGGGGGCGGCCGTGGGGGGGCTCGCGCTCTGACCCAAGGGGCCCGACGCTGCCCAGGGCTGTGGGGTCCCGTCCCAGCAGGGAGTTGGGGGGCGTCCAAGGCAGGGTCTGGGACCTGGGGAAGGGACTAGGCGCACGCAGGTGGGGGGGACAAGCCGGTGGGGGGCGGTGTCGAAGCAAATACGCGGGCGGGTCCAGCGGCTCGCGCTTTCCAAGAACCGCCCGCGGCCGCCGCCAGCTGCTTGGCGCTGACCCCGTTGGCTGGGCTGCCGTCACCCTGGGCCCGAGGCCGGCGCGGAAAACGGGGAGGGACGGGACACAGGCCGGTCTGGCTCGGAATCTCCTGCTCCTCTGCCCAATCCCCTACTCCCGCCCCACGGGACGCCGGTGCCGGGTCTCGGTCCCAGCCCCGAGCCGCTGGCGTCTGGACGCAGGCCGCCCCGTCGAGCCTTTGGGCCTCCGACCTCCCCGCCCCCGCCCCCAGTCAGGACCGGTCCAGACCTCTATGCCCGGCGCCTGGCTCCGCTTCCCGTTCCCCCTCCCGTTTCCCTCTCCCCTTTGCTGGGGCCTAGCCGGGGATTCAGGAGCCACACACCCTCCACCTTCCGCGCCGCCGCCCACGGGGTTCCCCCGAGCCAGAGCCCGCCCCTTCCCGGCTCCCTGGGAGACCCCGACAAGTTCCCTCCCTCCGCCCCGCAACCTGGCACCCTCCGTGGCCCTTCCCTACCCACGCACCCCCTCCCCGCCTCCCCCTCCGCCGCCCCGTACTCACTGCCACGTCCCCATCCTGCCGTCCCCTCCCAGCTCTCGGGGACACTGTCAGGCGGGCGGCGCGTCCCCTGCGGCCCAGCTCAGCCTCCTGGGCCAGGATGGAGACTCCGCTCCTGTGGGGCTCAGGGGATTGTCGGGGATTCCATTTGGGAAAAAAGCCACCAGGTCATCCACTGCCCAGCCGGCTCGGGAACCCCACTGGCTGCCCTTTCCTAAGCGGGAGCCTTGGCGCTGCCCTTCCCGGGTTGCCTGGGGCCCTCTTCGCTCCCCCCTTCCGAGGACCCCGCCCAGCAGGCCATGCCCAGGCCTCTGCCCCTGGCCCACGGGACCCGGGTCCCCATGCCCCCGGCTGGAGGCAGCAGGCAGCTCGGCCAACGGTCGGGCCAGCTGGTTCCCTTCAGGGGCAGCCTTGCCCCCTCTCCCGCCCCGTCTCCCCCCCCACCCACGGGGCTGTAACCCGAGCCGCCCAGCCACTGCCTCCCCTCCAGATCCTCCCCGGCGGCTCTGCGGCCCGGGCCCCCGCGCCGTGCTGCCCCATGCGGCCCTGAGCCCCACAGCAAGTCCGCCATGGGCCGCGGGGCCCGTGTCCCCTCGGAGGCCCCGGGGGCCGGCGTCGAGCGCCGCTGGCTTGGAGCCGCGCTGGTCGCCCTGTGCCTCCTCCCCGTGCTGGTGCTGCTGGCCCGGCTGGGGGCCCCGGCGGTGCCGGCCTGGAGCGCAGCTCAGGTGAGCGGCGGGCGGGGAGGCCAGGTGTCGGGGTGGGGGTTCTCACGTCTGTGGGTCTGGTCTGTCTGGGGGCCCGCAGGACGTGTGCGGGGTGTGTGCGGTGTTTGAGGGTCCAGATGTGCGTCCCGAGGTCGGAGGGTCGGACGCCCCTGTGTCCAGTTGTTGGGAGGGGTGGGAGGCCGCGCCCTGCTGTTCAGCCCCTTCGCCTCCACTGGGCCGCGTTCCTAGGAACGTGCAACAGGACGCTCAGGTTAGGAGACCCGAAACCACAGGCAGACAGGACCCGCCACGCCCGCTCCCAGCCCTGGGCACCCCCACCCCCGTTTCCTTCCAGTCCATTTTCCGAGGCAGTTTTTGGCCCTGGGGACCGTCACCGATGCCTCCCACGCACGCTTTCTTCCCTGAAGGGAGACGCCGCTGCGCTGGGCCTCTCGGGGGTCCCCCCAACCCGGGTCCCGGGCCCACCGGCCCCCCGCAGACGCCGCTACACGCTGACTCCAGCCAGGCTGCGCTGGGACCACTTCAACCTCACCTACAGGTGCGCCCTGGCTTGGCCCTGGGGGAGGGGGCGCGGCCGGCCCCCGCTGAGCTCGCTCTCCCTGCAGGATCCTCTCCTTCCCTCGGAACCTGCTGAGCCCGCGGGAGACGCGGCGGGCCCTGGCTGCCGCCTTCCGCATGTGGAGCGACGTGTCCCCCTTCAGCTTCCGCGAGGTGGCCCCCGAGCAGCCCAGCGACCTCCGGATAGGTGGGCGCCCGCCCCCGCCCCGGCCCGGCCGTGCGCGCCTGGCCTCTCAGCCCTGTGCTCCCCTCAGGCTTCTACCCGATCAACCACACGGACTGCCTGGTCTCCGCGCTGCACCACTGCTTCGATGGCCCCACGGGGGAGCTGGCCCATGCCTTCTTCCCCCCGCACGGCGGCATCCACTTCGACGACAGCGAGTACTGGGTGCTGGGCCCCACGCGCTACAGCTGGAAGAAAGGTGACCGTCCAGGCTGGCCTCCTGGAGGCCTCTCCTCCGCAGCGCAGTGGGCTGCCGCGGTCGGGCTTTGGGGCAGACGGCAGGAGGGACCTTCCGGGGTGGTGGCTGCTACTGGAGTCGAGCAGGCAAGGAGGGGAGCCCGTGGGAGCCCCCAGTCCCGGCAGCCCTGAACTCCCTTTCCCATCCCCCTGCGACTCTGGAGCGGGAGCAGGAGCTGCATTCCTGGGGGCCGAGCTCACCGCCTGGGCCCAGAACATTCTTATCTTTCCGTGGCTGCGGCGGAGGGCGGCTCCGCGGCTGCGCTCCAGCAGATGTGCCGGGCCTCGGGGAGCTGGCCCACGGGCGGCGGGGCTGGGCCCGGGGCTCCCAGGCGCTGACCCCCGGGGCCCGCAGGCGTGTGGCTCACGGACCTGGTGCACGTGGCGGCCCACGAGATCGGCCACGCGCTGGGCCTGATGCACTCACAACACGGCCGGGCGCTCATGCACCTGAATGCCACGCTGCGCGGCTGGAAGGCGTTGTCCCAGGACGAGCTGTGGGGGCTGCACCGGCTCTACGGTGAGTCCCTTTGTCGGGCGGGAGGGCGGGGATCGGGCGGTCCTGAGCCAGGCCGTGCTCCCCACGCTCCCGGCAGGATGCCTGGACAGGCTTTTCGTGTGCGCGTCCTGGGCACGGAGGGGCTTCTGCGACGCTCGCCGGCGCCTCATGAAGAGGCTCTGCCCCAGCAGCTGCGACTTCTGCTACGGTGATGCCCAGGGGCCGGGACAGGGCTGCGTGGGAGCTGGGTCTTGGCTATGGTCTGGGCTCCCACGGGCCGGGACGGGGCTGCGTGGGGGCTAGGTCTTGGCTATGGTCTGGGCTCCCACGGGCCGGGACAGGGCTGCTTTGGGGCTGGGTCTTGGCTATGGTCTGGGCTCCCACGGGCTGGGACGGGGCTGCGTGGGGGTTGGGTCTTGGCTATGGTCTGGGCTGAGGGGGCTCTTCCCCTACCCGGAGCAGAATTCCCCTTCCCGACGGTGGCCACCACCCCACCGCCCCCCAGGACCAAAACCAGGCTGGTGCCTGAGGGCAGGAACGTGACCTTCCGGTGCGGCCAGAAGATTCTCCATAAGAAAGGAAAAGTGTAGTAAGTGGGCGCCCTGGCGGGTCCTCAGGGTGGGCAGCCTGGGGCCCTGGGGCAGGGGTGCAGGGCAGGCAGCCGGTGGAGGCTGTGCCTGCAGGAGACACCCCGCCCCCCTGCAGCTGGTACAAGGACCAGGAGCCCCTGGAGTTCTCCTACCCCGGCTACCTGGCCCTGGGTGAGGCACACCTGAGCATCATTGCCAACGCCGTCAATGAGGGCACCTACACCTGCGTGGTGCGCCGCCAGCAGCGCGTGCTGACCACCTACTCCTGGCGAGTCCGTGTGCGGGGCTGAGCCCGGCTGATAAAGCACTTTCTCTCTGATGTCCTCTCGTTCATTCTTGGGAGAGCAGCGGGCATTCTGGGCAGGTGGACACCCCAGCCCCTGGTCCACCAAGAGGTGGGCGTCCTTGGGGCCAGGCACCCCCTGCTTTCCTGCACAGCAGACGACAGATACAGCACAGGACAGGACAGGCTTTGCCAAGGTGGCCCCTGGAAAAGTGGGATAGTGGAGGCCCCAGTGCCGGGGACAGCACGTGGGGTAGCCCCGGAAGCCTGGGTTCTGTCTAGGGCTTGCTCAGAGATGGGGGAGGGAGGCAAGGGGAGCTTCCCGGAAGAGGTGGCTGGGATGGGTCTCCAGGATCTTCTGCAAGGGGATGTGGGTGGGGGCTGGGAGGATTGGCACAGGGTGGGGGACCACCTTGCCAGAGTGGAGGCCCCCCCAGAGATAGGAGCACCCCTCCTGCCTGGGGAAGACTGGCCCACATGGGGTCAGAGGCCACAGCCACCCACCCCACCCTCTTCCCCTAGAGCCTGGTGGTCTGCGATGCCCCTCCCACACATGGTCCCAGGCTACTGAAAGAACACAGGGAGCTTTCCTCCAAGAATATTTTAATACATTTTAAAACTCGTAACAACCTTGTATAAAAACTTGCTGAGGCTGCCAGAATACCTGGGGCTGGGGGTTGGGGGCCGGGGGCCTGTGTGGACAGGGCTGGTCTGGACGAGCGAGTTGGGGCAGGAAAGCATCACTCATCCCAACACAAACAGGTCTCCAGCTCCAAAGATCAATCGACCCGACCCCCACCTGCTCCAAATCACGGCCCAGCCAGCCCGGTGTGTCGAGAGTGGGAGAGGGTGTGTGGGGGTTTGTGCTGCCCCAAGTAGGTGCCCGCAGATGCCCACCCTCTCCTCCCTGGGCAAGTCAGGGAGACCTGAAAACACAGCTCTTTTCCTCCACAACAAGGAAAATGATTTAATTCTACAAATTTACAAACCAAAATACAAAAACAAAACATGGAACACGAAATAAGATGAGTTCTGAGTCTCATGGCAGCTCCAGCCGCAGTAGCCGCGCCTGCGGTCCCAGCTGAGTTCTCCCCATGATGGGGTCTACTATGACCTTCAGAACTTGAGGCTGAAGCCGGGGCCCGCGGCTGAGGCCCCCTGGTTCGTGGTGGTAAGGTGGAAGCCCGTCTCCTTCAGGTCGTCGTCGCCCTAGGACGAGTCGGCTACCGTGAGGACCCTGCCCAAGCCAGCCCCACCTGTGGGCACGCCCCACCAGCCAGGCCCCTCACCAGCTGGCTATAGCCCAGGCCTCCCTCAGGGGGCCTCGGACTGGTGCCCCGCTTCACACGCTGCTGCTCACTCTTGGCGGGCCATGTGGGGAACATGGAAGGATCGATGGGGAGGGGGGTCTCACGGAAATACTCGTGCTTGAGGCCATCCTCAGCGCTGATCCTCCTCCCGGGAAAGTAGGTCAGGAACCTGGGGGGAGAGGCCCAGAGGCCCAGGAGGTGCTCGAGTGCTCCACTGGGTCCCCCAGAGATGGGCTGTGTTGGGACAGGGCTCAGGGCATGGGGCGCGAGGCACCAGAACAGTTCTGGAAAGTGGTGAGCCAGCAGGTGGGCCTGGGACCGGGAAGCCACCACTATGGCTCGGGACCTCCCGCCGCCCGGCTGCACTGGGCTCACTTGTTCATAAGGTCGAAGCCCTGGTCTGAGAGCAGGGCCCCGAAGCGCTTGCGAAGGTTGTTGTAGGGGTACTCGCTGAAGGTCATCTTCTTCACTGCTGGGAGCTCGTTGTAGCCGGGCCAGATTTTTTCACTGGGGGTCCCCAGGTCCTGAAAGACAGAGGCGTTTCAACAGCCACGCCACGTGGCCCATGGTGTTGGCACCTGTGTCCCAGTAGAGAAGACAAACCACCAGGAGGGCTCTCGGTGGCCCCAGTCCCCATCTCAACCCAGCACCTGTGTGCCCCCCAGCCCCACTCCTGCAGCTCCTCCACAACCCCACAGCACAACGGCAGCGGGGCCCAGACCCACCTTGAACACTTTGTTGATCTGATCGATGTCTGACTTCCCGGGGAACAGAGGCTTCTGAGTCAGCAGCTCCCCGAAGATGCAGCCCACCGACCACATGTCGACGGCCGTGGAGTATTCCTAAGAGGACAGGAGAGGCGCTCAGGAGGGCCAGGGCCCGCGGAGCTGTGGGAGACTGCATGGGGGGCAGGGGAGGCTCTCAGATGCTCAGGACTCACCTTGGCACCAAGCAGCAGCTCTGGGGCGCGGTACCACAGGGTCACCACGACCGGGGTGTAGGCCTTCAGAGGAGATCCGTACTCCCGCGCCAACCCGAAGTCACCCACCTGCAAGGACAGATGGGCGGCTGTGGATGGGCCTGGGCAGGGCTCCCTGGGATGGGCCGCTTGGTGGGTGGGTGGGGGCTCACCTTGAGGATGCCGGCGTGGCTCAGCAGCAAGTTGGACGTCTTGAGGTCACGGTGCAGGATCCAGTTGTCGTGCAGGTGCTTCACCCCCCGCAGCAGCTGGATCATCAGGGTCTTCACCTCCCCTGGGAGGGAGGGAGACAGGCTCCCATGTGGACCCGACCGCCCCCAGCCCAGGGCATTCAGGGTGGCCCACTCGCCTCAGCAGCAACAGAGGCTTCTCAGGGCTCTCCCTGTGGATGCAGCTGGCCCTCCCTGCAGCAGTGTCACCGCGGGGGTGACCAGGACACTGCTCCTGCTTGTGTGCCAAGAGGCCTGGGGCGCGCTGTACCTGGCAGGAAGGGCTGCTTCATGGTCTCCATCAGGCTCTTGAGGTCGTGCTCCACGTAGTTCATCACAATGTAGATCTTGTCCATGTTGCTGCCCACCACGATCTCCTGCAGGGCATGGCTCTGTGGGCACCTCAGGGCCCCCCCAAACCCTGCCACCACCTGAACCCGGGCGCAGATGCTGAGGGACAGTAAGGACCTCCAGTGCCACCCGGGGAGCAAATGCTTGCTTCTGTGTGGTCTGTGAAGGGCTCCGCTAAGTGCAGGGGAGTGTAGGAAGCGCCTGGCCCCAGGACAGCACCAGGACAACACGGGGCCGTGGGAAAAGCCTTCTACGCAGGGCTGTGTGCGGTGGGGCCATGCTCACTCTAACGGTGACGATGTTGGGATGCTGGGCCTTGAGGATGGTGTTGATCTCCCTCAGCGACGTGATCGGGAAGCCCTCCTTCTCCTTCTCCATCTTCAGCCGCTTCAGAGCCACAATTTCATCTGTGAAGGAAACAGACGGCACTGAGAGGCATTCTCAAAATCACGGCACCAGCAGTGGGTTTGTGGACCTGCTCAGTGAGGATCACAGGCAGTGCCCAAAGTGCATTTCACGGAGGGGGGTCCCGTTCTAGGTGGCGGCACGTGGGCACCAGGAGAACGCCCCAGCCGAGGTCATGGCAACACCAAAGGACCAACGGCTTCCACACTCTCAACGAAACACGGACACCCACAGCCACCTACAGCCACCTGGGATCCCAGCGGCCACGCTGACTCCATGTCAACTTCCCCAACAGAGCTGGCCTTACCTGGGATCCCAGTGGCTGACTCCCCAGGAGTCCCCGGCTCACAGCCTGCTGGGCAGGACGCTGGGAATGCAAACCTGCAGACCAGCCCTGGCGCAGACCACTCCACGCGCTGGGTCTCGGCCCTGTGGGGCAGGCCGCCTGCTACTTCGAGGGAGTGACAAAGCCCCAGGGCCAGGCTGACCTCTGGCTTCTAGAGATGCTGAGACGTCCAACCTCCAGTAGCTGCTCAGGTGAGGTAGGACCTCTTGGGCGGCCAGGCCCTGCCCCACTTCCCCTTGTCTTTGTGGGGTGAGCCGGGACTCCACCCACCTGTTTTCTTATCTTTTGCTCTGTAGACCACTCCATAGGTGCCCTCCTCGATCCTGTTCAGGCACTGGAACTCCTCGACGCTCCGGCAGCCCTGGGGAGGGAGCGGCTATGTGAGGTCTCAGTGGCCATGCCAGCTGGAAGGAGGGCGGCTGCATCCACGGGCACAGCACACCTGGCGCAGGGCGGGTGCAGGGCAGAGCTGTGGGACTGGGCAGGGGGTAGGGCCAGGAGCAGCTCAGTTCTCAAAGTCTGTTTCCTTGCAAGACCATGTGACACCTTATTATGAAACAAAACCAGTGTGAACAAAAGGCCATCCCAGCCGGGTGTGAGGGCTCAGGCCTGTAACTCCAGCACTTCGGGAGGGCAAGGCAGGGAGGATTGCTTGAGCCCAGGAGTTCAAGACCAGCCTCGCCAACACAGCAAGACTCTGTTTTCTTTTTTCTTTTTTGAGATGGAGTCTCGCTCTGTCACCCAGGCTGGAGTGCAATGGCGAGATCTCGGCTCACTGCAACCTCCACCTCCTGGGTTCAAGCGATTCTCCTGCCTCAGCCTCCTGAGCAGCTGGGAGTACAGGCACGCGCCACCACGTCTGGCTAATTTTTGTATTTTTTTTCTTTTTGAGACGGAGTCTCGCTCCGTCGCCCAGGCTGGAGTGCAGTGGCCAGATCTCAGCTCACTGCAAGCTCCGCCTCCCGGGTTCATGCCATTCTCCTGCCTCAGCCTCCGAAGTAGCTGGGATTACAGGTGCCCGCCACCTTGCCCAGCTAGTTTTTTGTATTTTTAGTAGAGATGGGGTTTCACCATGTTAGCCAGGATGGTCTCGATCTCCTGACCTCGTGATCCACCCATCTCGGCCTCCCAAAGTGCTGGGATTACAGGCTTGAGCCACCGTGCCCAGCCTAATTTTTGTATTTTTAGTAGAGATGGGGTTTCACCATGTTGGTCAGGCTGGTCTCGAACTCCTGACCTCATGATCCACCCACCACCTCGGCCTCCCAAAGTGTTGGGATTATGGGCGTGAGCCACTGTGCCCGGCCAAAACTGTGTTCTACAAAATTAAAAACTTACCCAGGCATGGTAGATTGCGCCTGTAGTTCTAGCTACTCAGGAGGCTGGGATGGGAGGATTGTCTGAGCCTGGGAGGTGTAGGCTGCAGTGAGCTATGA